GGGGCAGCAGCGCCCTTGCCGAGCCGCACCAGGGCGCCTGGACGCCGGCTTCGCCTCGTCTCGCAGCCCCCGATCTCCTCTCAGCCTGGGGGCGACTCCAGAGCTGCGAGACTGGACGGGGCTCAGAGGTCTTGACCCGCAGCGGGGAGACGGAGGGAAGCTCCCGCGAGCGGGTGGGTGAGCAGGCTCCCCAGCCACCCCTCCTTTCCGCCGGAGTTGAATCTGTGCTGCCCGTGTCCCGGCGCTGGGCTTCCGGACGGACACGGACCCCCCATCCCCGCCCGCGGCCGCCTTGTCATGCTGCCTAAAGTGGAGACGGAAGCCTTGGGACTGGCTCGATCGCATGGGGAACAGGGGCAGATGCCGGAAAACATGCAAGGTGAGCAGGCGCTGGCGGCTCGGGCTCCCGCGGCTACCTCACCCCCCGGCTCGCCCAGCCCGCTTGGTCCGCCCGCCCCGCGCGGGAGCCGAAGGGGCCTGGCTGGGCGCTCGCCGCTGCGGGGTGACGGGGCCGCGCGCGCGGCGTCTGCCCCCTTGCAAAGGTGCAGGCGTCAAAGTTTATGGCTCTTGAACAATGAGGGGCGGGAGGTTTTCTAAGTAATGCCTAGTGGTCCACTCTTAATTAAGAAAAGAAAGGTTTCGCGCTTCACGGCTGCAGGAGAGGAGTAGCTTCAGTTTATAGGTACTTTAGAATAATAAGACCATGCTAACAAATGGAAGGTCTCACTAAAAACCCCGGCAGGTTCTCGGTCAAGGGAATCCATGGGAACTTTAGCCAAGGCTCTTGTGTAGAGGGAGAACACTGTGCACGACAGTCAACGACAGAAAGAGGTGACTCAGGAGGGGCTTATTTCAGCGGTTTGAATGGAGGTGGACACCCCTCAAAGTCAAGGGCAACACCCGGAGCCGGCTGGAATTTGGACAATTTCAGAAATGCTGGCAGAACTTAAGAGGAGCAGAGTTACCCCGTGGCACCCTCTGCGCGGGTCGTCCCGAGTGAGTTTAGGGCTAGGGACTGCGGTCCCAGCGCTTGGGAATAGGGAAATCCTTTTAAATTTTGTGTTACCGGCTCTTGTTTGCTAACAACTAAAAACCAAATCCCGCTGATTATATTTTCGACCCATTCCAAAGTGGCGACTCCAGACCTGGCTGTATTAAGCCTTCAGAAGTTTATCGCCGTGGCCCTGGGCCGGGGAGGGAACAATGCTAGGAAAAGTCACCGGTGCTCTTCCATCCTCGCCCCATCCAGCGCGCAGGATGTGCCGGCCGGCGAGCGTGTGATCCCCAACGCTTCCTGCCATCCCCTTCAGCGAACTTGAAAGTGCCGGGGAGGTGTTGAGAGCAGAGTTCAGGGCTCGTATAGCCGTGGTGCGGGGCAGGCGGCGCCCAGCGCACTCGAGACCTTGGTGCCTGGGGGTTTGATGCCACCCCAGTGACTAGGGAAAAGGGGGTGCCGGGAAGTTGTGCGTCGTGCTATGACATCGGTTACCCCTCGGAGCACCTTGTTTATCCTAGAGTCTCTCCAAGCCTCCTGGAAGGGCCTCCTGGGGCTGAGGTCTCGTAGACGAACTTGTGGGTTGACTGCTGGCGGGGAACCCGCTAGTCCCAAAGAGGTTTTCCCGCACATAGGATTCCCACGAAGTGGGGGCGTGAAGTGGCTCCGGGAAGTCACATTCTGCGACTCTGCGCCGCCAACTCCTGAGAGAGATTATCCTTTGGGCGTTCCGTGAGGCTGGCGCGATTCTTGAATCCAAGGGGAAAGTTTCTACTCATTTAGGCGCGCACGTTTCTGAGAGTCTCGCGAAAAGTTCTGGGAGTTGCTAGAGCAAGAAATAGGGAAGGCGAGAATAAATGTTTATTGCGGAGGAGGGTGGGAGGGAAATACCTTTGCCGTATTTTCTTTGTAAAATTCGTGAGGGCCATTCTTGACGACCTGATACCCAAAGCAGGAAGTCAGATTTCCACAGTGCCCAGTGAGGAGAAACCCGGCGCCGCAGACTCGGCCCGGGGTTCGAAAGCAGCGTGGGAAGCTCCTGGACGTTGCTTCCTTCAGGCCACCGTGCGCCCTGGATAAGAGCTCGTGGGGCCGGTTTCCATGACGGCTCTGCTTTCAGCGCGGAAAGCGCCAGTCAGACCCGTGGGGGAATCCAGAAACAGGACCCGCGACGGGTTGGGGGGCTGCGCAGGGCACCCAACTCGACTGGAATTTTGCCGCAAGCCTCTCAGCGACCCTGGCTTTCCGAGGCGCCACCAACCCCTCCTTTCTTTAGACAGGGATTTCGGATTCGGTTCTCCAAACGCACCTGGGAGACTCTGAACGATGCCGGGGGATCGCACAGCGGGGTCTCTACACGGTCTCTGCCTTTGAATTTTTCGAAAGGGTCCTTTCCCTAGTTGGTCTTTTCGGTGTTGCACCCCCTAGGTGGGCACCGAGTTTCCCTACCTTTCTGTGCCCCTAAGGTGAGAAGTTAAGAGTTTATTAATGGGGGGGGGGGTTTGGGGGGAGGAGGGATAGAAAGGAATACACTTGGTAAAGTACCTATTTTTTTTCCGTCCCTAAAACGTGCCTCAAGAATATAGTCACGAGCTTTAGAAGAGATGGTTTATGATCGAAACTCAGTCTCTTCGAAACCCCCATACCAGAGCTTGGACCTCCAAGCGCTGGGACTCTGGTTGCCACTGCCTGGAGGTCTGTGCCCAGCATCTCTCTTCACGACTATCTCGTGGAGGAGCCCAGGCACCGGGCTCTGCTAGAGTATCTTCTCCCGGGGTCCCCCGCCCCCAACCTCTGGCTAACTCACTGGAGTTCAAGACTCAGTCCAGGGCTCTCTGCCTGTTGAAGAGAGATCTGAACTCGGTGGGTTCGTGCTGGGCCCTCCGCCGCAAAGTGCTGCAAGTGACACCCATCCTTTCCCTGCACTCTCTGGAGGCCCGCAGACTCTGCTGAGAAAATAGAACTTTATTTTTTAAAGAAAAGGCTGAAAAGAACTAGTATTGACCTGGAGGCCACTATGGTAATGGGGGCTGGGGTGGGGGCTACCTCTCTCTTTCCTTTTTGGTAAACAAATCAGAGGAAACTTCGGCCCCGCCACCAGTTCCCCACCCCCCCCCCGCCCCGCCCCCTGCAAATGCCACTGATTAACTTAAAACAAACTGGACTCGGTGTTTGTGCGCCTGTGTGTAACCGAAGGTTGAGCAAGGGGCGAGAGGAGAGTGTGCCCCTGGGTTTCAGAGGAACGAGCCCCGAGGGGTGCGGGCCGGGCTGCGCGGTCCTGGCCCTCGCCATCCGGACTCAGGACGCGCGTGGACGCAGAGTCTCGGGCAGGGACTGCATCAGGTATTATCTGGGCTCCCTTAGTCGGTGTCCTTCCTATGCTTGGTTTATCCTTGAGCTGCGAAGAAGCCTTCGCTGGGCTGCGTCCGTCCGGGGGGAGGGGGGGGGGAAGGCGGTTACCAGATCCTCGCAGGGAGCCGCGCAAAGCTGCGGCCTGATTTCTGTTCAACTTCACTGGCTGATCTCGAGGTGTTTCTATTTTGCAATGATGATCGGAAACATGTGAAGTTCATTACAGAACTTCAATACTTTTCAATGAAACCAAACCCGCATGTGTATCTCTTCCCCTTTCCCCCCCTCCGGGCGTCTTCCCCCCTTTCCTTTTTATTTTTACAGATTTTCAAATGTGGGGAGATGAAAAGTATCCAGAACAGGAGTCCTGTCCATACAGAACTGAATGTTTCGATTAGTCTCAGATCTGAACGCTGGGAGCCGCAGGCTGTTTTGTTAAGTGAGGCTGCTGCTGAGAAGCAGGTTTCTGGGGCTTTCTCGGTCAAGTGTTTGCAAATGGGTGTTGCTATCCTCATGAGCGAGATGTACTTGCAGCAACTTAAAGAGTGGGAAAATAACGTTTGTGCTTGTTTCTCTTCCTTAGGCAGAGATGGCATTTTGGAACTTAAGGATGATAAAAGAAATTCTAAGTTGTTCCTTGATGCATTTGACATTTCAGTTCTGATTTGTTGCTTTTCAGAATTCTGAGACTTGGGTTCGACCGTGGTCAGTTTTAAAAGATGTTAACAAAAGAAGTTGGAATTATTTCTAAATTTAAAAAATATAAAGTGGATGCTCATTGAAACAATGAAATTTTATGTTTTACTTTCACTGTATAAAAACTGTTCTCTTCAGTACAACTGTGTAAAAGATATTTTTCACTTTACTTACTTATTTTATATTTCATATTTGCTTACCAAAATGCCTTTCATTGCAGTATTAGAAGTTACATATTAAATTAAGTGAATGTGTTTATATGTACATTTCTCTTTTTGTTTCAGTGTCTCAGTTTAAAATGGTGAATTACTCCTATGATGAAGACCTTGAAGAGCTCTGTCCCGTGTGCGGAGATAAAGTGTCTGGGTACCATTATGGGCTCCTCACCTGTGAAAGCTGCAAGGTTTGCTTACAAGTTGCTAACTGATAAATATCACGTTCAAAACCAAAATGAACCATTGGATTCCTTCATAAAACTAAATTTAGGCTTTTTTTTTTTAGATGCAACAAAGAATGAGTTCGTCTTAGGAAGATGATTTTTAGAACTATGTGTCTGATTTAGTTCAAAAGGCAGAGAAATTTATACTGTTTAGAAAACTTTGCCAGTCTCATGGCTTTAAAATATTTTATTATAGTGAAGTGATGTAGCCTTAGAAAGACTTCTATTTCTAGCAGTCCTAAATATTGATTTTGCTTGACTTATATATATTTAAAGCATCATTGTTCTTGAGAGGGACATGACAAAGTATTTCCCAAATACATTTTAACTTCAGAGTATTCTGTGCTGCAATTCTAAACATTTTTATCTACAGACATAAGAGTTTAAGTTCCCAAATGCCTGATTTCACTCTGATTTATTCCAAAAATAATTTTAAAGATTTAAAAAAATTTTATATCAGATCTTTGTTTATAATAGAGAACTTCTCATGAATATGACCTATTTAGATGCAAGAAATCTTAATATGTGAATGCACTATATTGTTATAATGATATCCATGATACTTTAAAGATTTATCGCAAATCTCTTTTATGTATACCCCGTATTTAAAACTATTTTCAGCTGCTTTTCAAGTAGAAAACTCTACAATATTTCAACCACTGCCAGGAAAATCCCTTCATTCTCTATAGCAAAGAAAGATTGTGTCACTTTATGATTAGTGGGATAAATAACAATAGAACATCCTGGTAAAGCCATTACAGAGTTACAAGTATTATTCTTGATTAATTTTTTTGAATAAAATATAAGGAAAGCATGTCCAGTGCTAAAATTCAGGCCTCTGTTGTACATTTCTTTCCTTCCCATGAGTGTCATTCTTTTTTTGTTTTTAACATTCCCTAACTTGAATGTATTTCAATAGAATTACGAATATTTTTCCATTTTATTCTTTAAATCCTTTTGCTTCCAACTACCTAGTGTTGACATTTGTAAAAGATCTGAAGTGTTTTGCTCTTCAGTTTTTCCACTGGCATCCTGTAATAGTTTGTCACTGAAATTGTAATAGACAACTTATAAATGCAGATTCCATGAGTACCTCTTTCTGAACAGGAAGCAGATTTTTTTCTTTAAATCACTGGTCAATATAGAATATACATTTTTTTTTTCCTGTGACTGTGGAGTTGAATTGATATATAGCCAAATCTCCTAAAGATTTGATGTAATTTCTTCAGGAATATAACTGTGTTGCCAGAAAAATCTCCAGTATGCCCTGGCAGTATTTTGAAGGGTTGATCTTGTTAAAATGCAAAACAAGCCCCAGAAGGGCTCAAATGGTAAAATGAAAAGACTTACTGGTGATTTCCTTAAGATGAAACAATGGAAAAGGCGGGTGTCAGATTTATAATGTCTCTATTTTCTATCTTTCAGGGATTTTTTAAGCGAACAGTCCAAAATAATAAAAGGTACACATGTATAGAAAACCAGAACTGCCAAATTGACAAAACACAGAGAAAACGTTGTCCTTACTGTCGATTTCAAAAATGTCTAAGTGTTGGAATGAAGTTAGAAGGTAAGATTCTTCTCCAAAGACACAGGACTTGAAACAACATTGTATTTGTAACATGGTAACATTACTATTTTCCTACTCATTTAACATTATTGGCAATAATAATGTAAGATTTTTTTTTGTTGGCAGAATAGCCTAAGTCTCATTAACACTTTAATTAAATGTACTAGGAAATTTGAAATATCAGTTGCTCCCCTCTTCTTTTTTTAGCTAGGGGACCTGATGCATTTGACACTGACAGATTAGATCAGATAAAACCAAGAGTAAAATAATTCAAGGGAGAATAAAAGTAACTTACAAAATTATTTTTAAAAGAATCCCTGAAGTTTTCAAATCAGGGTGTACCAGTAAAAGCTCTATTTTTTTAAATAGTTGTACTTGTCATAATTGCTACTATAAATTTCATGATTGCTGTGCAAGAGTTAAAGGCTTTGTTTATGAAAAGGAGTTTATCATTTAATTTATCTTTTTTGATAATGTAGGAAGGCATATTTCTTTATTTTGAAATGACTGAGTCTGCTTGAGAAGCGGGAAACATGGAGAATAATGAAATGTTAAATCAGTAGCAATGGTTTGACAAGAACAAGAGCGTGGTGCCTGAAAAACCACATTAACTTTCTATTGAACGAGCAGAAACTGTTCTTACAATGTTCAGATTGGCAGGCAGTAAAGTTAATATGTGACTGCTGTAAATAATTTGTAGTTCATGGACTATTATGGGCTATTGCTGTTTTTTAGCCTCTGACCCACTGATTTTCTACAGATTAAATATACTGTAAATGAAGTAATAATAAGGGATACATATCACTGATATGTGCCATTTAGAAGAGTGCATTTTCTTTGATCAGTGAGATACAGGCTACTTTTGTTTGGCATTTTTCTATTGTGTGGAACTTAGACTTAATAGAAATACTCAAAAAATTTCAAATAAATCTGCTGAATTGCTAATAGATTCCTTTCCAACATAAGTAACCATGTTGGTTATCATCAGGGCTGTTAACTCAGTATTGCTTTTAAAAAGTACAAAAAGTAAATGGATGCTTATTAATTTCTTTGTCATCAATCACTTTATTATTTTCCCAACAGCAAGCTAGCGTGGTAGATGCTTACTCTAGTATGAGATCCAGAAAATAAAATGTTAAAAGTTAAATGCCGTGATTACTTATGACGTCATTTGATTTCTTTCTTTTTTTGTTAATGAACGGAAAGGTTGTATTTCTTTACCTTAAAGGGTATGCTTTTTAGCTATAAGTCACTGGTGGGTATAATTCAGACTTCCTTAACAGTGATAAGGAACAATTGAATATCCAATAAATTATCATCCACTTGAAACATGCATCATTATCTTGTGTAGTATTCTGGATTCCTACCACTCATGATAAATTTTTAATGCTATACTAATCCTAAGATAAAAAACTCAAAAATTTAACCTCCAGCAATTTCAACATGTCACAAGCTGTCAGAGGTTGCTGGTTTCTGTCTAATTGCCATTGGCCACTGTGGGGTTACAGAGAACTAACTTACTGGACCCCAGACTCTACACAGCAGGCATCGTGACAGCGTACTTCCTTGCCAGCTCACGAAATGAATTTGCTTTAATTATGTCCAGGTCTGCTTAAATTAAAAACCATAACTGGTGGTTATCTGAAGTGTGAAAGTGATTTTTTGAAGAAAAACGTGTACCTAACCCTACTGCAGCAAAGTACCCAAAATGGCTCTCAGGATGGAAGAAATTCTGAGGAAAAATATTCAGAGTTTAATCCAGAAATAGGTTAATATTTTCCCCTCACAGTTCAAATTTCTACAGAGAGACTACAACATAAGTGGTCATAGAAACTGATAGTCTTAGCAGAAAAGCTTACTTTCTTAGCCATTCACTGTATAGTGAATTATGCAGTCTCTCCAGCCCCCTAAAGGGTTAATATGTCCCTACATATCCCAAATATTTTTTTGATGACAAATACACTTTGAGGAAAGGATTCATAAATTAAGAAGACAGGGCTTTTGTTGGAATCTTTGTGGGCTATTGTAAAGCGAACTGCCACACATACCACTTCTGGTCAACTTTCAACATTTCTGGGGCTTGCTAATAATCTGCATCTTATTTAGACCCTTCCTTCCTTTCTTCCACCCACAGCGGTAAGGGCTGACCGAATGCGTGGCGGACGTAATAAGTTTGGGCCAATGTACAAGAGAGATAGGGCCCTGAAGCAGCAGAAAAAGGCCCTCATCCGAGCCAATGGACTTAAGCTAGAAGCCATGTCTCAGGTGATCCAGGCCATGCCCTCCGAGCTGACCATCTCCTCTGCTATTCAGAACATCCACTCTGCCTCCAAAGGCCTACCTCTGAACCATGCTGCCTTGCCCCCCACAGACTATGACAGAAGCCCTTTTGTCACGTCCCCCATCAGCATGACGATGCCACCTCACGGCAGCCTGCAAGGTTACCAGACATACAGTCACTTTCCCAGCCGGGCCATCAAGTCCGAGTATCCAGACCCCTACACCAGCTCGCCAGAGTCCCTCATGGGCTACTCCTACGTGGATAGTTACCAGACAAACTCCCCAGCGAGCATCCCGCACCTGATACTGGAACTTTTGAAGTGTGAACCAGATGAGCCTCAAGTCCAGGGCAAAATTATGGCCTATCTGCAACAAGAACAGGCTAACCGGAGCAAGCACGAAAAGCTGAGCACATTTGGGCTCATGTGCAAAATGGCTGACCAAACCCTGTTCTCCATCGTTGAGTGGGCCAGGAGTAGTATCTTCTTCCGGGAACTAAAGGTATGTCATCAGCTATTCTAATGCTGCTTTCCAGAGAGACCTGACCATGTTCCTCATGAACATCGTCTAGGTGCTGAAATACACCTTCCTTACCCTTCTTCTGTGCATGGTTTATGAAGTTAGAAGAATTTTAGTACCTTGACGAAAGGCCTATTCTAGCTTAACTTCATGGGGCTTTTCTTGCCTTTAATTCTAGTGGAGAGGGTGGTATTCAGTGTAAAATACAGGTAACTTTGTTTTCTCTGAGTACTATTCCTTTTCACCGAGTTGGTTTACGACTAGAAAATTTAAGTCATTGTGAAACAGCACTTAGTAAACTTTTAAAATTGAGCCAAATAAATTGCTCCAATAGAATGGCGCCATTTCAAAAGAATAAAGATGCCAACATGTAGTTGTGCTTAGACTCAAAAGAATGAAAATGATACTTGCTGGTTAGTATTATCAAGTAGGTATTTACTACCTGTTTACTTGCTGTTAGGTTGGTAAAGTCTTTTTTTTCGGAGCAGATTCCAGGAGGGTGTTGACTGTCATTGGCTGGGGAGTGCACACATGTTGAGGGTGGGGGCTGGTGTACTTGGCTGGAGTTTTAGTTCTCATAATCTATGTCTGTCGTTGATTTTAATGGATTGGTACATTGTAAACACAGTACTTGTTTGTATAAGGATCTCTGTTTAACTACATAATTATTTTACTTCCTGAAACTTAAGACTGAATTAATATGGGAAAGTTATATAGAAGTTTGGAATCTGAAGGAGCGACCATGCCACGTTTGGTAGTTGGTAGTTTCATTCTCTGTTGTAAAAACAAAAGAATTCTGGACTTGACTTCTAAGTATATCTGTTACAAAAATCAACCTCTTCCTTTGGCTGTCACATGACGAAAGCGGCCGCGACATTACTGTAGCTTCTGATCACCTAGGGCAGTTGAGGACTTTAAAATCTGCCAGAAGGGCAGAACCAAACAGACGTTGAAGGGCTTTTGTTCAAAACTGTCTGTAAATAGGCTGGGGAAGATGAAAACCATAGCAGACTGCATGAAGCAGTCCTGTCCGTCGGAACAGAAGCAGTTATGTGAACAGGTCTGGTTCAGCTCAGAGATGACGGTGGGCGTCCTATTAAGACTGACATAGCTGGCTGGCACTTGGCTTTCTAGTCCTCTGTGGCTACCTGTGAAGAGTAAAGGGGGAGACTGAGCCAACAGACTAGATATTTTCAGAGTATAGAACCACTCTGTGATAAACAGAGCATTTTAAAATTAAAAACAAACGTTTCTGGTGTCCTACTTCCTGGTTTTGTCCTTAAGAGGACAGGCAAGGTATTGGAAAATGAAAATGATCATTTTTAGACAGAGCTGAAAGGTGTGGAAGTGTAAAAAGGAGGTAAGCACAGCTTTTGCAATCAGATGGACTTGAAGTATACCCTCACCACTGGATAACTGTGTCCTTGTGGGCAGGTTGTGGGTCTCTGAGCCTTTATGGGGTGGAGGGCGTGGAGGGAATAACAACACAGCTGTGGAGGTTTTGCAAGGAATAATGAGACTGTGGGTAAAGCCTCTAGTAGGGAGCGCCTGGGAGGTAGTGAGCACTCAATCTGTGGGTGCTATTTAAAACAGTTATTGCTACTTGATGGCAAGTGTGTGAAGGCTTTGCAAAATATTATCTTATATTCAGAAAGAAAATGTACTGGTTCCTCTTTTAGTAGTTTGACTTTGGGAAACAGCATCACCACATGCATTACAGAAGAATATCACTGTACAAAAACACTCACTCATTACTACTAATGGAGACTAAACTGCAACAGGCTATAAATTGGGTGCAAGATGAAAAGAAAGTTGAGTAAGACAAAATATTTCCTCAATGATTTTATAAGACTCTTTCTTAAATAACTGGTAAAACCCATGAAGACAGCTAAGGTTATAGCTACCCAGGCCATTTTGCACATTATCTATATGTAAAAAAAGGGAAGCGTTATATGTCGCATATAGATGCTCATAGGCCAGACTTCAAGAGTGCTAGGGAAATACTTTTCAAATTCAAAATTCTCTCTTCTCCCCCTGAAGCTAAATTCTGTGAAATTAAGCATGAGGCTTGGCTAAAATACAAATGCCTGGGGAGAGGGTCCTGTTAGAGCATTATCACTTAAGCTGCTGTTCAGTGTATTTGCCAGTCTTCCATGAGTATATGCCTTGAAGAAGGTAAGGGACAGAAAGTGGAAGCCTTGGAGATATCTGTAAGGGGTGAGAAGTACACCCAGGAAACACAAACTTGACCCATTTAACCAGTTTGCCTTGGACTTTTAGTGAACAGGAACGATTCGTTGGGCATGTTAGAAATCATTTTAAAATCAGCTGTGGGAAGACTATTCACATTTGGAAAAAGTCCTTCTCCTTTTGTTTATAAATTTACTTTGTCAAAAACAACAAATCCTTTGAAGCCTGCTTGGAGACATGTCCCTTGCAGTATCTCCCCAGGGTAGGGACTTTAATTATGACCTGCAGGAAGAAGTATTTTTTATACTGGAAGTTGCTGCACCAACACCCACAAACACCCGTCCCCTGGTCCAAAGTTTCACTAGAGTGCAATACTTTCTCTGTGCCAGGCCTGCTGATGTTTTCTCATTTATCCTGCTTAAGTTTAATTTATTTCATGCTTTTTAAAAAATTTCAGCTCATGGCCCACTAAATTGATTTCATGACCTACTAATGAGGCATGACCTACAATTCAAGAAACATTGCTCTAGGGATGGCTTTGTGGGTCATCTACGGGGTGTGGCCTACCTGTCACCACTAACAACTCCTAAAAAGGTCTCTTCCTCCTGGCAGGCCTCCAAGACATCTCTGAAATCTACAGCCCCTACTCCTCACCCTATCTTGTCAAAGTTGTGGCTTTTAAATATTATTTGGGAAGATTAATGTTTCCCTGTAAACATTTGTCTTTTCCTTATTAGCTACACATCAAATTACCCATCAGGGGATACATTGAAAGGGCCAATGGCTTATTCCTCTACAACCCAAGATGAAAATTCACTTATCTACTCCCTGGAAAATAATAACATGATAAGGCAATTTTGCCAATGATCCCTTGTTCACTTTCCCAAGACGAGTTACATTCTCTACCAAGCACAAAAGGAAATACAGATGTCATTTGCTTTCTATGCAGACTAGAAGGACCAGAGAAAATATGGTATGTTGTTTTTTTCCTATATATTTTCAAGAGGCAAATGATTCCTATTCAGAATATTGGGATAGAAGGTGAATTTCCAATGCCCAAACTTGCAGCTTGTGAAATAGCACATAAAGAGAGAGAGGGGGAAAAATGTGGTAGTAGGCTACATTATACTCACAGAAACCATTCAATTGCAGAACTGAAAGATGCTCAAGGAAAAAGGGACAGAGGATATACATTAAGTGGGTTGTTTTGTTTTTCTGTATACCTGTAAGGGACAATCCCAACCCCCATCCAAAATAGTGGTGGAGGAAGATGAAATCCATGCTCTGAAACTAGTCATTCTGAAATGGCATATATGCACTGAAAGATACTCCTTGCCTAGTAACCAAAGATTATTCCAGAGCCAGAAACCAAAGATTATTAAAGAGCCGGAAGAGATGGTGGAGACTATTGGGAAGAAACTGAGGTGACTTGCCCATAATTGTACAGCTATCAAAAGAGAGAACTGGGGCTGGCAGATTCAGGTTCAAAGTAGCACTACGTCTGCAAAGTTTGCCTCCCTCTCCCCTTACACACACACATAGACATGTAACCTTTGACTTCAGAAATACAAGCCTTTGCCATTGAAGCTAAAGCAAATCTCTAGGTTATCAGAAGTCCATCTGAACCATCCAATTACTAAATCACTGATAATCAGTGAGACATTTTCTCTGAGCCCAGACAACCCCCTGGGAGTGAATGAGTCACTGTAGGAAGCTACAATTCTCTCAGGCCACTAGGGTATCATTCAGCATAAAGATCTACCCGCCAGCACTTCTGAGCCTTGAGTGTTCAGAGTGTTCTTTGGTGCTGCCCCTTCTGCTCACAGTCCATTCTCTGGGGGAATCTACATCAGCCACAACATGTGGGTTTGCTCAGAAGTTAAAATGGCCAAATACGTGCCTACCCTGCATTCTACTGGATGCTGGGCATGTTCAGCAGGGGTGATTTTTTTTATATGTGCAAGTGAAGATAGGCACAACGGATTGTAAGCAGGTGACAGATTAACATGAATTACAAAAGCATTAGAAATGTTTCCTGAGGTGATCTTACATCCAACACACCTTCTAATCTTCAAACTGAAGGTGTCTTACAATGGTCTCTACGCAGCCTTTTTCCTTGTGTTTTTGGAAAATAAGAGCAAACTCAACACCCCCCCAGCCTGCTGACAAGAGTTCTCTATGTGATGCAAGATTGTGATTTTTCTTCCAGTTATTTACTTTTCATCTGCATCTTGAATATTTCACAAACATAAGCAGTGAGAAAATAATTCCCCCTTTGCTGAGCAACTAATGAACCTAGAGGATCTATTTGATCTTCTAGTGAGACCAGATGTCTTGAGAGGATTCTGGGAATGGAGGTAGATGAACTTCCCCTCAGTGAATGATTCTGATACGTGTAGGAATTTAAAAAAAAATCTGAATTAATCCTGACTGAAACACATAAGTAGCATTTCTGTGGAAAATAGGTCTCAGAGATTCAGAGAGTGGTGCCAGAGGAATTCAGCCATGCGGAAGGAAGTGCAGTTCTCACTGAAGAGAAGAGACTCCGGGGCGGGAGTAAACCTTTCTTTTTCTCTGGTGCATTACAGAAGCTTTTTTTTTTTTTTAAAGATTTATTTATTTATTCATACAGAATTGGGGTACAGGCCACAAATGCAGATGGTGAAAGGATTCACCAGGGACAGAGAGGGGAGCAGAACAGGTAGATGGACAAGGTACACTGCTGAAGGGGAGCAGTGGGCGGGTCAGGAGAGGTCTGCCATGTCACCTCTGGGGCAGGAATCGAACTCATG